CACACAGGGTGGATGTGGCCATCTTGTTTTGGGAGGGGTGGTGTCCCTAGAACACTCAGTGGGATGTACATCCCAGCCCGAGCCTTCGCTCCCAGGGCTGGGGTCAGGCCCACGAGTGCGATAGAGCGGAGGGAGGAGGATGATGATGGACCGGCGGGATGATGGATAGCGGTGGTACCCTGCCTCAGTCGGGGCAGACTTAGGGGGCAGCCTGAAGTCCTTACACCCTGCTCAGCCCTGTAACCCGTTAAGCCCAGGGGTTGCAGGGCCCCGTCTCTCTCATTAACAAATTAATTAGCTTGGGAGCTTGAGGGTTTGCCCTGCTGGGGCTTTGAGGGGTCGTCCTTCTGCTGGCTTTGGGGTGGAGTGTGCTGACAACCAAAGTGGCCCGGTCCCACCCCGTGCGTGTGTGTCCCGGCACACCCACACCCACCGGCCTCATTCGCTTCCCAAAACCTCAGGAAGGCACACGCCGGCACACGTCACACCCCAGGGAGCACACACGTCCTGAAAACGTGTAGCCAGACCCGCCCAGCCATTGCACCGCTGCACGTGCCCTGTGAACGCACATGTGTACGCCCAGGTGTGCACACATGCACAGCCGCCATGCACACGCGCATCCCGCGCACGTGCGGGACGTGCACAAGCACCGCGGAAACACAAATACAGACATACGCACTGACACGCAGGCAGCAGCTTGAGCGGGCACGTGTGCGCTCCCCCAGGCACACCCTGGGTTGGTTGCACACACGGACGGCTGCCGTGCACACCCCCACGGTCAATGGCGCACACACAGACGCACAACTGCTGTCACACCTTTGCTCAGCACCGCGAACCCCTGAGCACGCACAAACCCAGCTCCACCCGCCCGGCTGTGACCCCCCGACCACACACACCCAACTGTGCACACCTGACCGTGCGTGCTCAACTGTGCACACCCAACCGTGCACAACCCAACCATGCACACCTGACTGTGCACACCCATCTGCACAACCCTGACCATGCACACCTGACTGTGCACACCCGACTGTGCACACCCAGCCACACACACCCAACTGTGCACACCTGACCGTGCATGCTCAACTGTGCACACCCAGCCGTGCACAACCCAAACATGCACACCTGACCCTGCACACCCAGCCACACACACCCCGACCACACACACCCAACTGTGCACACCTGACTGTGCACACCTATCTGCACAACCCTGACCATGCACACCTGACTGTGCACACCCGACTGTGCACACCCAGCACACCCATCTGCACAACCCTGACCATGCACACCTGATTGTGCACACCCAACCACGCACACCCCAACCACACACACCCAACTGTGCACACCTGACTGTGCATGCTCAACTGTGCACACCCAATGGCGCACAACCCAACCATGCACACCTGACCGTGCACACCCATCTGCACAACCCTGACCGTGCACACTTGACTGTGTACACCCAGCCACGCACACCCCGACCACACACACCCAACTGTGCACACCTGACTGTGCATGCTCAACTGTGCACACCCAATGGTGCACAACCCAACCATGCACACCTGACCGTGCACACCCATCTGCACAACCCTGACCGTGCACAACTGACTGTGCACACCCAACCATGCACACCCCGACCACACACACCCAGCTGTGCACACCCAACTGCACACCCTGCACACCCAACTGTGCACACTCGGCCACAGCGAACTGCACAGGAGCACAAAGGAAAAGGAGTGGGCAGCCCTTAGTGACAGAATTCCTGTGGCAGGTAAATAATTGCCATTTAATTACCAATTAATTGCCCCCCAACTTGCCATTTGCAGGGTGAGCCTGGGAGCTCCCTGGTAATGATTTGGGAAGGCTCCTGGTGAGGGTACCCAGGAGATTTGGAAGGCAAATGGGGCGCTGGCACTGGCGGGTGTAAGGTGATGCTGATGGTTATCACTGACACCTCTCTCATTCCCATGGACTGGGTGGAAAAACACCCCCGGCAAAGGAAACAGGGCCCCAGAGCATAATGCCTCCCATGGGGACATAATGCCTTGTGGTGTTTTGGAGCTGGCAGGATTGGGAACTGTCACGGGTAGTGTTTTGTGATTGGGAAGGGTGAAACTGGCTTTGGGGATGAAAAAGATTTCTGCCTTTTTTTTCCACGTCTAGGAAAAACAGCATCTCTTTTCCTCAGCTCTTCACGTGCTTCCTCTGCAACCTGGCAAGTGATTGGGAAGGTTTCTCTAAGGAAAGGGAGGTGCAGGAGGTAGTTTTGGGGTATAAAACCAGATTTTTAGGTGGCAACAGTGTCCAGGCTCTGCCATGGATGGAACAAGATGCATTTGACCCATTGGTCACCCTCTGTCTGCCCTCTCTCACGTCTCTCCAGACCCTGCTCCAGATTCACCCACCCCGTTGGCCCCCATCCTGCCCCCATGCACCCCCAGGATGCCTCCAGGCAGCATCCATGAGGGGGCTGACGGCAGCCCCCGAACCTCCCCATTGCCTGTCCCATGCACACGCATCCAAACTGAGAGGTGTTGCCCTTGTCCAGCTCCAGCGTCATCCCGCCCCTCACCCCAGAACCATCCCAGCCGCCAGCGAACCGTGAAGTTCGTTTCCGAGCCGCAGCCATTACTCCTGAGTCCAAGTCATTAATGAGCGTGCCGGGGGCAGTGGGGGTCAGGGCAGGTCCTTGAGGAATCCCACCAGTGCTCCCAGTCTGGCACAACCATGACTGTTCCCCATTATTCTGTTCCTCACTGACTTTCTGGGCCCTCCAGCTTTTCTAGGAAACTCCCAAGGAACAAGGTCTGCGTTGCTGGAGCGACATTGATCGGCAACATGCCCCAGTGCTTGACTGGAGAGGAATGCAGGACAGTGCTGGGGTGGGAAGTGGGTGTTGAGGGGGGAACATGGGACGAAAATGAGGATGACAGTGCCTCACAGGTCCTGACAGCAGCCAGAGGTCATACTGCTCGGGATATACCACCTCCCTGGGAGAAAAACCCTGAGTTGGGCACAACCAAGACAGCTCCTCTCACGTTTATGACCACGGGATGAATCGATGGGATGGCTCCGGCTGTACGGAGCTGGACGATTCAGCCATGGAGCCAGAAGGGATGATCCAGCCCCGATTCTGGGAGACACCCTTTGGCACCAGAGGTGGGCTGCAGCAACATGGCCACCCCCACGGGCCTTGGAAGGACAGCAGGATGGCCATGTGCATCCCCAACCTGGCCGTGTCCTGGGAGCACCAGTGGCTCTGGGACAAGGTCTGACGTGACCCAGCTTGGTCATGGACATGGAGAGGCTCAGGTCTAGGTGGATACTGGGAGAAGATGCAAAACCTTACGAGGGATGAGGCGAATGGGCATCGCCAAGGGGATTGTGCCCCAGCGCGTGATCTGAGGGGGTGGTGATGGTGTTGGGCTCTTGGGGCTTGCCGTCAGGGACCGGTTTTCCCCCCACCCCACAGCCAGGAGAGGGGGCAAAGGACTCACTGTTGCTTGCGGGTGAGCTCCTGCTCCTTCTGCACCAGGTCCTGCTTGAGGGAGGCCAGCATCTCCACGCTGACGTCCACCTGCCGAGACAGTTCAGATGCCCGGTCCTCCAGCTCCTGCTTCTCCCGGCTCAGCCGCAGGCTCTCCTGCTTGGCCTTCTCCAGCTCCGAGCTCTTGCGGTCCAGCTCCACCTGGAGCCGTCCCACCTGTGAGGCGATCTTCTGCTCCACCTCTTCCGTCAGCTTCTCCAGCCGCTTGTCCACCTCCAGCTTCTCAAAGGCACGGATCTTCAGGCGGGCCAAGCCTTCCTCGTAGGCAGCATCCATCGTGGCCGGCGGTGTGGGAGCTGGCGCCACGGCTTTACTCCGGGTGAAGATCTCCGTCAGAGGGATCTCGATCTCGTGGACATAGCGGGGCGAGGGGGAGGAGGACGAGGGCGGCTCCAGCTCCTCGGCGGGGATGAGGTCGCAGGAGAAGCGCTGGTCCTTGCCTTGGAAAGAGGTGCTCTCAAAGTAGTCCCGCCGGGCGGCCGGCGTCAGCAGGGCCCCGTCAGCGGCCAGGGGGAAGACAGCAGCATCGCAGATGCTGTTGGTCTTGGAGAGGACGTAGAGGGTCTCATAGGTGTGGTTGTACTCCAGGTGTGCCCGCAGCGAGGAGAGGCTGCGGAAGCGCTTGTGCTCCCCGCACCGCGGACACCGGTAAGGCAGGTCCAGCGAGGCCATCCCTCAGCTACGCGCCCCGACGCAGGGGATGTGCACGGCCTCACTCATGGCGCGGGACGGGTGGACCGGTGGCACACGGGGTGGGTTGGGGAGCCCCGGGCAGTGGGGCTGCAGCTCTGTCGGGGCATGGCGGGGGTGGGAGCCCTGGGATGGGAGTGGAGGGTCCGAGGAGGCTGGGGGGAGCGTTGTCAGCATCGGCCGGGGCCAGGCGCTAGAAGAGAGAGAGAGGGGGGTTAGTGACAGGGATGGCAGGTTCCCAGAACTCCCTCCTTGGCCCCCTCTCTGCCTCCATCCTCCCCTCCCATGTTCCTCCCACTCATGCACAATCCCAGGGAGGGTGCACAATGCTCTAGAAGGCGCACAACCTTTGGGAATGTGCACAAGGCTTGGGAATGTCCACAACCCTTGGGAAGATCTATGAACCTTGTGAAGCTCTACAGCCCCTGGGAAGATCCATAACCATTGGGAAGGTGCATAACTATTAGGAAGGTTCACAGCCATTTGGGAGGTTCACAACCATTTGGGAGCACAACAGCCATCAGGAAGGTGGGCAATCCATGAGAAATCTCTCTCCATCCGCCCTGAGCTTGCCATGGAGGGGTGACCCATATGCTTTCCTGCTCAACCAACCATGCAATGAGCCCCTGCAGTGCCAGGGGTCTCCAGGCCCTGGGAGCATTCCTGTGTCTGACGCTGGAGCCGGGGTCCTTGGAGCCACCTCCTCCAAGCAAAGGGTGACCCAGTCCTGCTAGATCCACGCAGCCTCTCCACAGGATTAGCTCCTTCTCCAGCCCATCGTGTCTCATTGTGGATCCCCTCTGGGATGGCGGGACCCCCTCCACTGTGCTGTCCCAGCGACACAGGACCTGGTGGCTCCCCACGCCTGGGCAATTGAGG